CCTTTGCCATAAATTATCAGTTAATATTTAGTCAGCTTCCTTACTGATATCATTTGTAATAAAAATAGTGAACAGATTTCTGATATACTATATACTATAATATCACAGCATGAGTTTTGTGTTTGTTTGTTTGTTTTTAAATAGAGACATTTACTTGTGAGTGATGTTTTAGAACTGACCTTGATATGATGTAACACCAACATAAGCCATGACCAGTGTCATTAAATACCTCATAATAGGACATGTCCTGGGAAAGAACATGTGATTTTTCCATGGTGAATTGAATAGAAGTTCGAGCAAGTGCATGACAGTTTGGTTGAATTTTCCCACTCACCTACCATTCCTGTCACTGGGGACCTCAGTACATATTTAGCCTACACACCAAATTTGCATTATTACTGTCAGATAATTTTTTCATCCTTTCAAGTTCTATTTTTCTTTGTCTGTCTTTGTGATACAGAATTTCCACTAAAATACTTACTCCCACTGTGACCTCTCACGTACCCTCACCATTGTGGCTTCAGGCGAAAGATTTCGCTGCAGTACTCACATACTTCTCTGCAGAAATATGTCAAAACAGATGAGCAGTCTTTCTGTCTCTCTGCTATGCACTAATGGCCTAGTCTGTTTATGTGCCAAGTGACATTAATTTAAGCAATCCCAAATGCACTTTTATGGAAAGACAGTACACACCTGCTAGATGCTCTCCCAGCCCCTAAAAGAATTTACAGACTTTTATATTCGTGGAAGGCTTCTCTTGTAAAAGCCATGCAAATTCAAACAACCTGAAACAGATGGTGTGCTTGTCTTGCCTCTGTTCTTTTTCATGTCTCAGCAGGTCATTTTATGTCATTGAAGCATAAGCTATTCATAAAATTCACTTAAGCTTAGGACTGTATTAGGAAGGACAAACTCTACAAAAGCAATAATTCAGTTTGAGAATGTTTTGGAAATGTCTGCAGTGTTAGAGTTATTGAATAAGCTCGGGCTATTTTAGGTCAAGCCTCAAAGAGTGCAGATCGAGATTCACTTATGACTTCCACATTATATTAAGGGGACAGTCGGTGAATGGACTGCGCTTTACATTCATTTGTTTTGTTGCTGTGGTTGTTTTACTCCAAAGGATAATGTGAAATTTTTCATACACATTCACATGACTGGCTGCCATGTGGACACTGAGCAGCCAGTTGGATGCAACTTGATCCCTTCAGGTAAAGATTAGAAGATAATCCTTTATTTATCAAAGATCAGGGGAATTTTTTCACTTGGAACAGTATTTTCATTCAGTTACATTTTATTTATATAGCACCAAATCACAGTCTCCTCATGGTGCTTTGTATTGTAAGGTAAAGACCCTATATTATAAACAATCATGGAACCCAGTTTGAGCAAACACTTGGCAACAATGGGAAGGAAAAACTCCCTTTTAAGACAGAGATTATTAATAACCAATAAAAGTACCACTTTTCACAGCTATGATGCATTTTTTTTGTTATGCAATTAAGGAGAAATCTACCAGATTGTTTTGTGCCTGAAACAGCAAGAATGTGCTTTTCATATAGTAGTAAAAGAGATGTATGTTTTCACATTTCTGTCAAAAACAGATACACGCTCTCATTTGTTCATTAACCAGCATGTTCATAAACCTGAGAGAAAAATCGAGGCCTAAGGGAGAGTCCAACCCTTCAGGCGAAGCTTGTATCTGTGATCTCATTCTTTCGGTCACTACCCACACCTCATGGCCATAGATGACCCAGAGGGGCCTTCCATCTTTTTCCAGCTGAGAAGCATGCCCTGAGACACGGACCTGACAGCTTTCATTCCTACTGCTTCTTGCTTGCCTGCAAACCACCCCACAGTGAGCTGGAGGACACCTGCTGATGAAGCCACAAGAACCGCATCATCAAAAGCAGAGAGATGATCCTGAGGCCACAAGACCAGAAATCTTCAGCTGCTTGGCTGAGCCTAAAATCTCTGTGCATAAAAGTTATGTATCGAATCGGTGACAAAAAGCAGCCCTGGTGGAGCCCAGCTCTCATCAGGAACTGATCAGACTTATTGCAATATGAGTGAGTGAAACTCTCCCCACAGTTATACAGGTACATGTCCACCATTCTATAACAAGCACAACAGCTTATTACCTCATTTGTAGTGTGATAGGATGACAGCAAACTAAAAAAAACACCCTGTACAGTTTAAAACACATGTTCCCAAGTTTTTAAACAGCTGTAGAGCTTAACAGCTGATACACAGGCAGATGTGCTGAACCTGAAAAGTTTCTGTGCTTTTTGGTTACAGACAGAAGCCTGCATTTAACTGAGACACTCAGCTCCCAACAACATAAACATATTCTGTGTCTGTGTCTCTGTCTACCTCTTTCTCTCCCTCTCCCTCTTTAACTACATATCATTCCAATCTAAACAGCTTCTACACTATATCCACCTTCTGCTATGTTTAATCTTGGGGTAAAACTTCACAGTTTTCCTGCGGATTAGCTCTGCATTTACAGCGCTGCCAGGTTCATTAAACGCCAATGGACACAGTGCAACTTAGTATCACAGACAAATGTTTACAATCTAGCAAGCAGTACAGTTCTGTGTAAATACATGTGGTCCTTCAGTCCAGTCCAAAGAACTGAAGAGGGGGCCACAGCTGCAGGCAGGCAGTGAAGCTGGAGGATTTTGACAGCCACTTTCAGGAAACAGCTGTCTTACTTGATCAAGTGAAGAAAAGTTTTCTCTACTCTGAAAACAAATGTCAGAATATGAAGTGTTTACTTCTAAAATGACACATGATTTTTTTTTGCTGTCTTAAAGAAAACAGTTGATGCGATCATGAGAAGAAATACAACATATAAATGTTGAATTATTATGGGGGGTTTTTTCACAAATTTAGTCTTTTTTTTAAAAAAAACTAATTTAACAGCAACGGTGTCCAGCTGGGGCTTTTCTGTTTAGAGTGTGAATTGCACTGATGTGGATGTGCTATGTAGCGTTCTTCTGATATTGCTGTGGAGCTACACCAGACAGAAGAAAGGCTGGCAACAACTGCTTGAAGGCTTTCCATAGTTTATTACTGTTTTTGTTTTGTTTTTTTGAGCCAACTGCTATGTAGCATCTGTGGAAAATTTGGTCCGCTAATTACATTTTCTATTACTATGCTCTCTGCTTCACTGCCAATGCTGCCAGTGTTCATTTTATGTGAATACAAAGATCAAATGTTGATATATTGTCAGTGTTTTTAATTATGTTCTGGTTAGTAATCATTAGCTAAACTTCAAAAAATGTTTCTCCAAAGCATCATCAACATCAGCTTATTAAGGCTGACAAATGATGTTATTTTCTTTTTAAGACAGATTCAGTTTGGCTAAAGTCCTCCTGTATTTTTAACTGCTGCCTTCACTTCCTTTCTTTCTTTCTTGTAGCTAAAATGATCTAATGGATGAAGACAACTCATGTCCAAGTTATTTTCAGTCATTACAGCTGAAGACTGAAACAGACAGCTGACCATTGTCTTTCATCCTGAGATCAAAAAACGGGATAGATTCACACAGCTGCAATGCCCTGTAGGGGTCACGTACATCCTAATCTGTCACAGTCCACTGAAAATGATAGCTGGCATCTTGTCCCGCTGCTGTTCGTGAAGGGAACAAAGAAGAAACTGTGGTAATATTAAGACAGGTTCACAGCTGATTTGCACACTGTTTTGGCGGTGCGCGCGTGTAATCCTGCAGCATGCGACAGATGTACATGCTGCGAGAACTCGTGTAGATACACACCCACAAATATGGTCATGCAGACATGAACAAATGCACGCACACAGGTACATCGTGCGGACAGACAGTTCATGGCTGCTGGTTTGAGTTATGACAGAATCTGATTGCATCAGTGCAAGGGGCAAAGAGGTGAGCACAAGTGGGAAGTGAGTATGGGAAACACGCACACACACACAAATCTTATTACGCTGGATGGTGATGAATGTGGTTTAATCCTGTGGTTAGAGTGTTCCAGGTGGGAGGGGTCAGACCTTCTTCTCAGGGCTATCTCTTACAGGCCAAAGGTTCAGCCTGATGGCATCCCCAGATACAATGAGTGCATTTATTCATATGCAGGGAACAGAATAAGCCCAAAAAGCATTCACAGAAACAATATCAGCTTTGAATTTCACTGAGTGACATCCAAAAAAACGCAAGAAGGACAGAAAATAATTTGACTTTTAGAAAGTGACAAATGTGATCAGACATGAGGTTGTAAGACTTTCATTACGTTTTCGTGACAATGGCTTTTGAAACGAATCAGTCCAGTTTTCTTTCTAGATGCTGACGTCAGGCGAGGGAAATCCAGCTTTTTTAATGTTTTCTCTAAACTGATCAATATTTATTATGTTATAGGTTATATCTGATTGAGGAAAAAATAATGAGAAAAATAATATACTCCACGATTTCAATGTGCGTGTATGCTTAAAAAAAATTCACAGTCTTCTATCAGCAAATGAATTGAATCTCTTGAGCATATATATTCTTAAACATGTGATTTTTACCGGTCAGTTTTTAGCCAACAACGCGGATTTTTTTTTTCTTCAATTTAAGTCTCTGATCCTTGAATGTTGCCTTCACTGACCCACAATGTGTGTTGGGTAACGTATTTTCGTACACGTCAGCCTTCAATTTCACTGTCCTGTCAGCGAGGAGGAACTTTTCCTTTGTCTTGGCTCTGTTGTTGCTGTCATTGTGGCGTTTTTCTTCATCCCACCAAGTTTTCTGTCTGTCAGCCTGAAATCAGGACAAGAGACGAACAGACCAGCAGACGTCATCCTTCCAGATTTTGGTGAACAATACGTGCACTTTTGTTTTTTTTTCCTGCCCTCCCTCCCTTTCCACGTTCTCCACTTCTCCCTCACAGGACACAACAAGTGTTTGATTCGCTGTCTGGTCGTGCATATTAATGAGAATGGGATAGCGGGCAGCTTTTAAAAGAGCTGCTGCCTGCCTCTCCACAGCAAGCGACGGGGAGAGAGAGACCTAAACGAGTGATTGGAGATTCATCCAAGCGCTCGGGACGCACAGACGGAGTTGCACAATCAGTGCTCCAAAGGGACCCCAAAAAGCTGAAATCCCCATTGCTCTTCACGTCTGCCTCCCAGTAGTGGATGCTATCTACATATCGAAAGACTTTTTGTTGATATTTCAGTATTTACTGCTTTGCAAGGCTCGGGTTTTGAGGAACTTCTTTTTTTTAAAAAAATCTTTTTGGACTTGTGAAGACATGCGTGGGTGCACGACGGTGCTGCTTTTGTTAGTGGTGGCCTTATGCTGCCTGAGCGCAGAAGGTAAACACTTTTTTCCTGTTTATCTTAGTTAAAGTTTGTCATTTTTCAAAATGGGCTGTGCGGCGCTTAAGCTGTGATAACTGAACAATTATCGGTAGGTGGAAAATAGGTGGGAGGTGAAAGCAAACGCCTGGTGTGTTGTGTTGTGTTCGTGAAAGGAAAGATTGAGGAATCAACTCATGCTGTGCAGAGTTTGTTTGAAACCAGAGTCAACAGCTGAAGTCAACTTTGCTGAAGGGACTCAGTGGTGCGTTTGCTTGCATGCCTGTGCTCCAAAAATGAATTTAGGTCGGCATAAACAGTGTGTTAGCAGTAGTGTGCACTCAATTAGGCACTTTGTTTGTTTCCTAGTATCCATAAACACTGAGATCTTGGAGCTGAACTGTAATAATGAATACCACTCTGGTGTAAGAAATCTGCTGTTATGATGAGCCTTATGTTGGCAAGCGTCCTTGCACCCTGAACAGCCCTCTGGGACATACAGCGTCTGGCAAGACAAGCGAAGCCACCCTTATGTAACTAAATTAACAGTAAAATATTCCAATTTTAGTTTTTACATAATTATTTAAAATGCATTTTTCTATCATAGTTTCATTCTCCTTTCGTGTCTGCAGCTGTCAAACTTTATGGGAAAACTTTGTCTGTATTTGCCAGGAGCATTATTATATTCTGATGGAAACTGACTTTTTGTATAACGTCTTTCCCACCATATAGATATGAAAGTAAACATATACATCATTTGAGAACAGGTTTAACGGGCATCTCTTTCAGTTCAGTGTGCAAAGTGGTGAAGCTGTTTGCCTTTGACAATATAGTAACACCAGTGTTTGCCCATTTTTATTGGCCTTTGTTGTCTGATATGTTGGTGCTCAGTCGCGCTCCACTGTGGGGGCTTGTGACAGATTTAGTGCCTGGCGGTCTGGACAGATAGCAGATGATGGATGAGGGAAACCTTGGACTATCCAGGTCATCACCTCCCATCACAAATATACAGCCCAGCAAAACGAATTTCCTCTGTGTAATATATTCACTACTACAGCTAGAAAACTTGCCCTGAACAGGCATCATTTTAAGTTGATCAGAAGATGATGGACAGACATTATTAAATATATATGTATGCTTCAGAAGTAAGATGACATGTAGCTTTAATTAAAGAGGTGCATAGACTCTCCCTTAGTGCTTGTAGTGCAGGAATTTTATAAAATTTGTGTCTGATAGAGAAGCAACATGATAGTGAGATAAATACAGGATAGCTGAAGTCTCAAGTTCTTCGTGCAAGGCAGTAAGACCTTTAGGAACCCATGCATCGTCTGAGCTTAACGGGATAAATGCAGCATGTTTAATTTTGCTGATGTGCAGTGAACAATCAGCAATAGCATAAAACTCGTACAGTGTGGAATTCAAGCCAATTTCCTCTCTACACAGATGTTTCCATTTTAGTCATGGTTAATATAAAAAGGGGTCTAACTGCATGCCAAATTATATTTCTATTTTAATGTGCCTTTGACTGTGACTTAAGTTAAAGCATGGAATTTCAGCTGTGTGTTGCCAGATATAAATATAGAAACAGATAACACCCACTTGTCATTTGAATTATAATTCAAAGATAAAGCGGGAATACTTCGTTGTGATTCCACGCCAGTTTGCCGTCAGATCGCAAAGAATTAACTTCCCTGTCAGTTAAATACCTGTCAGTCTGACTGGAAGTAATTGAGCTTGCATGACAAGTTTATTAGATTTGTGTCTTAGCAGTGTAATGTGTGCATTATATTTCTCAACAGCTTACAAGTGCAGGTGCACCAGAAAAGGGCCCAAGATCCGATACAAGGATGTACAGAAGCTGGAGATCAAACCCAAACACCCGTTCTGCCAGGAGAAGATGATATTGTGAGTCAGACTCTGATTCTCTTTCAATGTGTCACTCTCCATTTGTCATTTCTGCATTTTCTCGTTTCTCTCTCTGCTTTTTTCCTCAGTTCTTATTCCTACTTTACATTCTTCTTTTTGCTTAATCCCTTGACATTTTCCTACCTGCTTACCTGTTTTTCCCCCTTTCCTCTGGTTATTCATCCCCTTTTTCTTCCAGCGTGTACTCTGCACATGCTTTGAATACAAATCATACAATTAGCAGATTACCAGCATATTTAAAGCCGTTCCTGAAGCATAATGATACTCCAACATACTGTAAACATATTCAGCTGCCGCGCTCACATTTTGAGAACACCCTTTCGTTGGTGCCTAAAACACTCTGAAAGATTTGCAGCGTGATAAACTGATAATTTAATTACTCCCTGTAGACAGGAGGTGGGGATGATTTATTACCTGAAAAGGAGGGGATGAAGAAAGCAGCGATTTCCAGAACATTCCACAGTGTTCAATTACTCAAGCATGAACATTTCCAGACTTTTATTTGTAAATTCAGACATCATGGGCAGTGTGAGATGTAAGCATCACATAATGATGCAGTCCATTAATCTATCTATTAATCTATTAAAGTCTAGTTAATGTAAGAATAATGTAATGCTTCTGTGTTCAAAAAACTATTTGTACTTAAACAATAAAAAATGGGCTGAATCACAGATCAGTGCTTGATCTTTCTGCCTCTCTCTGCCATCAGACATTTAACCTTTCAGGTCAAAGTTCAAGCACACATACAGCTAATATGCTCATTTTGAGCTACTGAGGAATGCACCATGAACTGATTCTTCTCCTATGAATTATATTTCAAAAGAAGTAACCTGTAGCGCTTTAAGACAGACACTCTCACCTGAAATTTATAAATACATTGATATTATGCGTACAGTCTGTACTACATGATTTCAGTTGATGTGAATGAAGCCCCACACAAGCCAATAAAAAACTATAAAACGCTGTGTGCGTTTCATTTTTTTAAGTTTTTGCTTCAAAGCTAAATGAAGGCACAGCAGATGGGGATGTTATGTCAGCCTCCTGGGACTCTGCTTGGTGTTCAATGCACAATCTCTGCTGCCACCTGCTGCCACATTACAATATAACACAGAGGACACAGGCTGTGTGATGTGTGGACAGATTTTTATGCTCAAAGTGTATTCTACTTTTTACAAAAGGTTTGAGATAATATCCAACCATTTAAGTCAGTTTATCATATCAATTGATTTTAAACAGAAAACTAGGTCCTCTTATCTCACAATTTGCTGCTTTTATAGCAATTTTAATTAAGTAAAATTGATTATTACGTTTTAAGTTTGCTGTTGTTCCGTTTTTGTTTTATCATTAATAATTTATTTAAGCTCCAAGTACATTTATACTATTAAAATCATTCATCTTGTTACAGATGCCCTTCCGAAATGAGTACTTTATGGTAATCGGTTGTTGTTGAGTACAGCAAAGAAATTATAATATTTGAAAATTTTAGTGTGTTAATCAGTGTTTCAAATTTCATTTGAAAATTTCACCTTTCAAGTGCTGAATAGTTACAAAATAGCTGTTAGATGTTGTCTCCATCTATCCGAACGTTATATTTTTATGAATGTGATGTGCTCTTGAACGCCTTAAGGGAATTTCTTAAAAATTGAGCCAAATGTTAGCTTAGCTGATTACATTTTGAGGGTCAGAGGTTATAGTCACTCTAACCTCACAAAAAACATTTTGGGGCTTAACTCAAGAATTTACACTGTAAATACTAATAAATTTAACACTCTGTAAAAGTCATCACTCATGATAAAGGCTGAAAAGGGCTATTTGAATTCATGACTCCTACCTTACATATTTTATACATGAACTGCAACGTAACTGGCTGGCGGAGGAATACAGCTGCAAAGCGGAGGGATGATGTATAGTCACACATCAAGTCAGTCAAGAAATAAATTGTGTGTGCATTCCAAAAGAACAAACCTGTCAGAAGCATTATATTGTATTTGGTCTGCATCACCTCACAGGTCTGTTTTTCTGTGAGGGTGTTACGCGCCACACAGTCATCATTCAAGGTTGCTCTATTAGCATGAGATGGGGCCCACCAGCCGTTAGTGCCTGGTGAAAAATGAGTCTCAGCAGGCTCCGGAAAGCAACAGAAAGAAAGAGAGTGGGAGAGAAATGAGCAAGAGAGTCCCCACTTTGGTCGTTTGGCTTACAGCGCTTAGTTTGGCATTCTCAGCAGCCACTCCTAACCACAAACATGCACAACCTAGGAGCCCCATATACCATCTCCCTATTCCTACCCGTCCTCTCAATTTTCTGTCTTTTCCCTGGACTTCATTCATCTTCACCTTCCTTTTTCTAATGTCCTTATAACTCACGGAAGTTTTCAGTCAGTGGCTGTGCTTCAGCTACCTAGGTGAATGATAATGAGTCGGAACCAAAGCTCAAACGATCACGGTAATTAGGTTAAATGCAATATACACAGGAAGTTTCATGTTCTATCCATCAAACACACTCAGAACTCAGTTCTTCCAAAAGAAAGAACACAGAGCTATCTAACTAAGGCATCAATTGTGAAACAAAGGGACAACCAAATGGGCAGGAAAATAGAGGCAAAACTCTTTAATCTAATCTTTATAACCACTGAATACAGCCTTCGAATCAAAAGTCAAGTTCCTTTGCAGTCAAGTCATTTAGCATTCATGGTTTGCTGAGCCTTTGAGTGTGTCACTGGATAGTGAGGCCCCCTAGCATGGTGGGTCTTTTGTTTTTTTATATTTACCACGCTCGCTTCTTTCATCTGAATACGCCACATACAGGCAGTCTGTCTCTGTCGTTGCCAAAAGCAGAGCATAACAGACAGATGAACTGATTCAATGAGCTTAGATGTCACATTTTTAAGTGGCAGCTCCATAATATTGCTTCATTGCCAAAAAAGCTGGCAAAGCTGTGCAAGCGGATCTTTTGAATTCGGAGGGCATTCAGCTGTGGAAATGTTATTGGAGGCAGCTTAGAATAGCCACTAAAATTTGGGGCAAAAACATGTCGGATGTCTTACTCCTTAACCAGTCTGTATTCAGCAGACTCAGACTGGCTTTCAGATGGTTTGACTTGCTCACAACAGTGTTTTTACTCCAATGAAGTTGTGCCTTGAGTTCTTAAGCTGAACTTAACCCTCCAAGTCAAACTGAAAACTTTCATTGTGAAATGTTCTTATTTTACTCACTAGCCATTTTTGTTGTCATGATATGATAGCAGTCAGATTCCGGTAAGTGCTTGGCCTTTAGGGCCACTATATTATTTTTTTCATAAGTGATGTAGTCATTGAAATGTTAAAAGCGATCTTACTGAATAGCTGGCAGCCACATGTGCAAAAATAACTTTTTGCACATTTTAAAAATCTTTTTTAATTTTTATAGGAATAAATAAGAGTGTTCAAGAGTACATGTGTACTTGATACAGACTGGAAAACCTACATGTCATGTTTTGTGTTTTTTAAAATCAGTATTTAACCTTTGCTTCTTCTCGGCTCCTGTTCTCAGTGTGACAATGGAGAATGTGTCTCGGTTCAAGGGGCAGGAGTACTGTCTTCATCCCAAACTTCAGAGCACCAAGAACCTGGTCAAATGGTTCCGCATCTGGAAGGACAAGCACAGGTAATAGCCTAACACCAAAATAAATAAATAAATAAAAATCAGGTGATGTTAGTTAAAAGTACAGTCAGTCGTGTTGTTAGGTTATTTAATGTGTAATTATATATTTCAGCAAGTTGATTTTCACAAACCGAAACATCTAAACATTTTACAAACTTAGAATCAATTAATTCATAGTACACAGAACAAACACGTGGCCTAGATAAATAAATAAATAAGACTAGATAAAATGTCATCCTCTTCCTGTATCTGAACGAAACCGTGCATGAACACATTTATTTATTCCAAATACTGTCACATTTACTTATGGTAGCAGAGTAGACCTTCCCATCCCTGGACAGATGATAACAACCTGACTAAAAAAAACAACAGCAGCTGGGTATAAGCTAACATTATGCCAGCTAATGTTAGGCTCGAGCGCCCTGAAAATCACATTTCCTTCTGTTTATCAGAGACAAAGTGTCGCTAAGAGTCCCAGTCCAAAAATGTTAGATCCATGTTGTCAGCTGAGGTGAAAGCAGAATGACAGCCTACACTCACTACAGATAAACAGCAGCTAGAATTGTTTGTCCTATGGAGGCCACCATAGCAAGGATTTTACTCTTGCATTGGTAGGCGTAACAAAACAGAATTAAGTTGAGCGTGATCTGCATTCTACTGACATCTAGTGGTCATCTATCAGGTTCACATGAGAAAAAATTATATAAATACGTAAGTCAGACAGAGTTAGCTTAGTCAAACCCATAAACTGTCGGTGTAACAGTTAAGGTCCACAAGTGTACTTTTTTTAGCTTTTATGTCCAATTTGCTGCCTTTCATGGGAGATAGGGTTTGTGCAGTTACATAAATGTACCAGTTTATATACCTAAACATAAAACACTGACGTAACAGAGATAACATATGCTGTTATGGAAACTTAACCCCTTTTAGAGATTTGTTAAAGTAAATAAAGTAAGAATCTAAAGAACATTTCATGTATTTACAATATCGCACAGCTCCATAACTTATATATATTGTCAAATGTTTACAAAACTTCACAAACAACATTTGATGTAACTAATGGTTATTTGACTTACTTCTGCATTGCTATCATCTAAAAGCAGTCAGGCTATTCTTTTCTGACAAGCCAGTATTTCCCAGAGAACTTACTGAATGTTTCCCTTTGGATTAGCCTCTATAGACCCTGAGATGGTTTTGTGGGAAAATCCCAGTAAATCAGCAGTTTCTGAGCTAGTTAAACCGCCCGCACCAGCACTAACAATCATCTTCCCCATTTTAATGCTCAGTTTGAGCATTATAAGGTTATTTTGGACATGTCTACATGCCTAAATTCAGTGAATTGCTGCCATGTGATTGGCTGATTAGATATTATTAGATATGCATTAACAATCACCTAAACAGGCGTACCTAATAAAGCATTATCACCATTATTATTACCATGTTATATCTTCTTTGTCATTTCATTAAGAAGCAATGCATAAACCACTCATAACCATATGCACATAAAGTTTTTCAAGTTTTATCCCTGACTCTGGGCTGAAACCATATCCAGTGGCTATCAATAAAGATGTGATGCTTTATTGATTTGTTTTGTTGAAACTAGTCTTTTTAACTTCAGAGGTCAGAGTCAGGTCTTAGACAAAAGTCCTCTGGACGTATTTTTTCAAAAACAGCATTTCTAAGGGACACTGTTGGTTACAGAAGCAATAAAGTCATGTTCGTACTACATGTAAACATTTGATCGCTACTCAAACAGAGACACCTTTTTTAGGAGGCTGAAAAAAAACCTACATTGTTTGCAACCAAAGGAGCAAATCTCGTAAGAGATATATGTTTGTTTTCCACAGGGTGTATGAAGCATAACACCGTCGCTCTCAACACAAGGATCGTGTGAGACAAACAAAGGACACCAACTCCACCAGGACTACATTTGTGAAGTACAAGATGTAATCTGCATTGAAGCTGTACTTCTACTTCTTCTGCCTGAGATCTGTCAAGCGCATCAAGAGATATCTACAATTTGTACATAGGCTGGTGGGCTCGCTTTAGTTGGCCATCAGTGTAGTTACAGTCACTCACCACTCCAGTCTTTGCCACTGTAGTTATATTTGTCAAATTGTGGACAACGCCATCTGTGTTCAAACAGTTGTATGGTTGTTATTCAAAGGGGCTTCTGTTTTGTTTTGGCTTTGGTGAAAAATGTGCAAGAAAAAGAAATTCTGAGGAAAGGCAAATATTTCTCTTAAAAATACAGTGTATTGGTGTTTAATCATTGCAGTTTCCACTTTTCCGTATCCTATTCAGTATGACAGGTATATTTATATAATCAGCGTATAAGGTTTGGCTACAAGGGCGCAGTTGAAATAATGGGATAAAGGTTCTCCATAAATTAGATTCTCTGTATCTGTAGAGGAGAGTCAGTCAGTGTGTGATTATATTTTATACAGAAGTTGTTTTTATTCAGACAGATTATGGAGGTCCGACAGTCAGTGTGTGTGTGTGTGTGTG